AATTGGCTTGATGGTAGGAGAGAGACCAACAGTGGAGGGTTGCTTTTCGGACTGGAGGCCTGTGACCAGCAGTGTTCCACAGGCATCAGTGCTGGGTCCACTTTTGTTTGTCATTTATATAAACAATTTGGATGAGAATATAGGAGGGATGGTTAGCAAGTTTGCAGAAGACACCAAAATTGGTGGTCAGTGAAGAAGGTTAACTAAGATTATAAAGAGACTTTATCAATTGGGTCAATGGGTCAAGGAGCGGCAGATGGAGTTTAATTTGGATAAGTGCCAAGTATTACACTCTGGTAAAACAAACAAACTATACAATTAATGGTAGGGCCCTAGGCACTGTTGTAGCACAGAGACCTAGAGGATCAGGTACATAATTCTTTGAAATTTGCAGCACATTTAGACAGGATGGTTAAGAAGGTGTTTAGCACACTTGCTTTCATTGCTCAGACCTTTGAGTACAGGAATTGGGACTTCATGTTGAGGTTGTACAGGACTTTGGTGAGGGCTCCTCTGGATTACTCTGTGCAGTGTTGGTCACCATGCTATAGGAAGGATATTATTAAATTGGAGAGGGTTCAGAAAAGATTTGCCAGGATATTGCCAGGAATGGAGGGTTTGAGTTATAAAAGTAGGCTGGATAGGCTGGAACTTTTTTCATTGGAGCATAGGAAGTTGAGGTGTGACCTTGTAGACATGATTTTATAAACGAGGGGCATAGTTAAAGTGAATAGCAAGGGTCTTTTCCCTAGGGTGGTGAGTTCAAAACGAGGGAATATATGTTTTAAAGTGAGAGGAGAAAGATTTAAAAAGGACATGAAGGGCAACTTTTTTTACATAGACAGTGGTTACTGTTTGGAATGAACTGCCAGAGAAAGTGGTGGATGCAGGTACAACTACAACATTTATAATACATTTGGATAAGTACATGAATAGTTGGGGTTTGGAGGGACAAGAGCCAAACACAGGCAAGTGGGACTAGTTTAGTTTTGGAACATGGTCGGCATGGACTAGTTGGACCAAGGGGTCTGTTTCCGTGACCCTAAGGTCAATTTTGCAAACAACATGTTTACTAAGCCTCAAATGACCAATCTTGGACAATCAAGCATGAATCCTTCCCAGGACTGCAAAGGTAGAAACAGTAGCACAGTTCCCCATTCCCATGACAAAACAGGAAATCATACGGTTTTAGGGAATGTATGGGATCTGCCAAAGATTTGTCTCAAATTTCAGCTCAGTAGCTGTGCCTCTGATAGACCGATTACATGGAAAAACAGAGGTAGTGCGGCCTGAGTGACTTCAAGCAGCTTTGGAAAGTGGAAGTCAATTTCAACAAACAAACTTGTGCTTGCAGCTCCAAACCCCAACCCAGCATTGGAAGTAACTATCAATGTGAGTGACATTGGGGTAGGGGCTGTCCTCATTCAGGAAGAGGTATTCAAAAGAGAGAGAGTGATCAGGTCCTTACCCCCAATGAACTAACCCCACATCAGAAATAATATTCCACCTAGAAATGCAGGTGCATAGTTCCTTGAAAGTGGAGTTGCAGGTAGACTGGGTGGTGAAGAAGGCACTTTGGTATGCTTGCCTTCATTGGTCAGCACATTGAGTATAGGTTCTGAGGAAGGGTCACCGGACCCGAAACGTTAACTCTGTTTTCTCCTCCACAGATGCTGCCAGGTTTGCTGAGCTTTTCCAGCAACTTTGTTTTTGTTGCATTGAGTATAGGAGTTGGGACATCATGTTGCGGCTTTAGAGGACATTGGTGAGGCCACTTTTAGAATACTGCATACAATTGCAGTCATTCTTTTATAAGAAGGATGTTGTTAAACTTGAATCAGAGATAGTAGGAACTGCAGATGCTGGAGAATCCGAGACAACAAGGTGCAGGGCTGGATGAACACAGCAGGCCAAGCAGCATCATAGGAGCAGAGAGGCTGACGTTTCGGGCCTAGACCCTTCATCAGAAAAGGGGGAGGGGAAGGGGGTTTTGAAATAAATAGGGAGAGAGTGGGAGGCGGATAGAAGAGGGATAGAGGAGAGGATAGGTGGAGAGGAAACAAACAGGTCGAAGAGGCGGGGATAGAGCCAGTAAAGGTGAGTGTAGGTGGGGAGTTAGGGAGGGGATAGGT